GCAATAGGTGTATACCAAGAAGGAGGGCATTTAGGGCACTCCAGTGAGGTTCAAAGCTAGGTTAGTAGCGAAGGGTTATGCACAGGAAGAAGATATTGATTACAATGAGGTCTTCTCTCCGGTGGTGAAACACTCTTCTATTCAGATCTTACTAGCTTTGGTGGCACAGTATGATTTGGAATTGGATTAATTAGATGTAAAAATAATATTTCTTCATGGTGATCTTGATGAAGAAATTTATATGACTTAGCCATTAGGGTATCGAGCTATAGAAAAGGAAAATTTGGTTTGTAGATTGAAGAAGTCGCTATACGAGTTGAAGCAATCTCCAAGATAGTGGTATAGGCGATTCGATGGGTTTATGATCGACAAGTCATACATTAGGAGCCAGTTTGATCCTTGTGTGTACTATCACAAGCTTTATGAAGGTGCGTACATTATTGTTATTTTATATCGATGACATGTTGGTTGCTTCTATTTTCAGATCCGTCATAGATGAATTGAAGATACAGCTTTCAAGCGAGTTTGAGATGAAGGATTTGGGTGAAGCAAAGTGCATTTTGGGGATGGAGATCGACAGAGATAGAGATAAGGGTAGAATTTGTTTAACACATGTGGCTTATTTGAAGAAGGTGTTATAGTGATTTAATGTTAGTATGGAGACGAAACCAGTTAGTGTATCTTTGGGTGCCCATTTGAAGCTTTCAGCTGATCTTTCACCAAAGTCAGTTGAAGATAGATAATTGACGTCGAAGACTCCTTATGCAAGCGCAGTGGAAAGTTTAATGTACGCAATGGTATGTACAAGGTTGGATCTATCACAGGCAGTTAGCATGGTTTCACGATACATGCATGACCCAGGTCCGGGTCATTGAGATACCGTGAGGTGGATTTTGAGGTACATTCGAGGTACTCTCAATATTGGTTTGATGTTCGAGCGGGACACTAGTGGTGGGTAGTTATGTATTTGATACATAGATTCCAACTATGCTAGAGATTTGGATAAGCATCGGTTGACGATGGTGTATGTGTTCACTTTGACCCGTGCGCCGGTGTGTTGAAGATGCACCTTGCAGTCTACAGTTGCTTTGTCGACGACAGATGCAGAGTATATAGCGATTACAGAGGCTGTTAAGGAGGCAAATTGGCTTTGGAGAATCTTGGTGTTTCACAGCGATCTGTCACCATTCATTGTGATAGCATGAGTGCGATCTATTTGGTGAAGAATCAACTTTTTTATACGAGGACGAAGCACATCGATGTTCGCTATCACTTTGTCAAGGATGTTTCTTGAAGAAGGGGATGTGGAGCTTGTGAAGGTCCACACAAAAGACAATCTAGTAGATATGCTCACGAAGGTGGTCCCTAGCAACAAGTTCGATCACTGTAGAAACATATAGCGGATTTGTACTTGTTGAGGCCTGTCGAGGCCATTTGGAGGAACTACGGGCGGCTTGATCCCTTAGGAGGGGGTACGTAGGCAACCATATTAATGCAGCCGGATTTGGAGAGACGACGTATTGGTGTTCGTGTTGGTGTCGGCTCAGTTTTGGGAACACTTCACCGAGGTGGAGAATTGTTAAAAGAGGCAAAAAATCGCATGAAAAAGCAGCAGGACTATCGGTCAACTAATAACAATGATCAGTCGACCGATAATAGGCACACTGCAGGAATCAAAAAATTCTATTGGATAGTCGACCGATATGCCTTGTCGGTCGACCGATGAACACCTACCAATCGACTGATGAGGCTTCATCAGTCGACCGATAACAGTTTATTACGCCGATTTGTTTCCTAGCCTATTTTGGATTTTGGTGTTTATATAAATAGAAACACGTTTGTTAGGGGTTTTAGTCAGAGAAAAGAGAGTTATTTGAGCACTTTGAGAGGGAGATTATTGAGAGGGAGTGAGGTCTTATTGGTTAGGGTTATTGTGAGTGTTTGAGAGTTGTAACTCATTGTGTTTCTCCTCCATATAGTATCTTCCCATCCTCTCCCCGTGGAAGTAGGCAACTTGCCGAACCACGTAAATCTCTGTGTTTGATTGGTTTTGGTTGTTTCATTGTGATTTGTGTCCGTGGTGTTCTTTGTCGTTGCTTACCAACTTGTTGTGGATTGAGTCCGCTTTTGCCGAGCGCAACAATAGCTCTCGAAAAGCTCTCGGTCTAATCTATTGACCATCTATGATTGGAGAGACTAGATGATTAAATTTTACCAAAACATTCAAATCATTGATTATGACAACTTGACCATCGATGGTTGATCATCAGATTTGTAATTTTTATATGTTTTGGATTCATCTTAACCGTTTATTTTCTAAGGTATATAGACTCTTTCCTTATGTTTTTTAGAGGAGTTCCTAACCTAAATCACAGAGAAAAGGGAAGGAGGGGTTGGGGAAGAGCTAGGGTTTCAATTTGGTGAAAAGGATCTTGCTTGGGCTTATTAGAAAACACCTTTGACATTGTTTTTCATCATTCGATCATTAACCTTCAAGAAGTGCTACCCCCTGTTCGATCTCACATGCAGGCCTAGAGGTGAACGAATATGATTGCTTTTTTGTGTAAACAAAGAATATGCGACGAAAAAGGATAAAATACAGCGATGAACAGATAATAAGCAATAATACCAATCACAGATAAAAAAATCTACATCTGCTCTTTCTTTTCGGAAAGGAACTTCCTCATTATGATAGTGTTCTCTTGAATTACAAATCCAATCTAGTAGGCTTACAAGACCTCACCCTCCTTTTAACCCATAACTAGTCGTTTAACCTAACTTTCATTATGAGTGATCCTCAATTCAACTGGTTTAAGTATGCCATAAAAAAAGTTCAACATAAATGAAGACAAATAAAAGTTAAACTCAATTGGGTTTTTTTTTTTTGGGGGNTTCTCTAGACAAATAAAATTCAACTGGTTTAAGTACAGCCTTTTTTATTTGCAAACTTCTTTTTGAATAATCTCGATGAAGAACGGGGATAATAATGGACTCCACGGGATGCTCTGCTCATTGTGAACTGATCGGATGATGCATGGAGAGTGAGCGATTGACGAGACTCTATTGGGGTTGGGGGGTGCAAAAAAGTTCTTTAGATCTCCTCGCTCTCTTTCTCTCTTTTTTTCCCCTTCGAATTTGGTCAAGAAATAATGCCTCAAAATGTAGGAGAGGACTAGGGTTTGATGTGCAATGAACAACTGAGATTAAAGGCTGAAAGGTTTGTTTCGGCCTTCGAAATATTGATAGTGGCTCTTGACCATTGATGGTGGCGAAATGATTATCGATGGGTGACGAACCCATCATGATCTAAACTTCTCTAGACTTTTGCACGATCAATAACCTAAGAAAAAAATTCAATAAATTATAGGGAAAAAATCAATAAATTATAGGATTTAAACTGAATGCCGACTTGTTGGAATTCTAATCTATCAACCAGTGATTGTCGGTAAATCTGCAATTTGCCAGTTACGCATTAGTTATGGAATGATTATGAGCTAAACTGAATGTAACTAGCTTATCCTTAATTTTACATAGAATAATCACCATAAAACTCTAAATTATCACAATTAATCTCAAAAGCATGATGAATACATGATAATGAACCTTTAGCATTCCTTGATTTCGATAGAATCTAATGACACAACTGGACATGACATAAGATTGATTTATCTAATGATTTATCTAATGCTTATTCTNTTGACACAATCCTTAATTAAGCTGTTTTTCAAGGGGAGGGGGACCAGTTTGACCGGAGCGTTACGAAGCCAATAACGCACGTCGATATCAGAGCTTCTGCATGATTGGATTTTGACAAGCTCCACGCAATGGCTGCTTGCCTTCACGCATTCCGAAGCGGCAATTGTTATCACTACTACACTCTTAATTCCGAAGCGGCAATTGTTATCACTACTACACTCTTACTTAAAATTCTTACAAAAACGGTACACATAGTATATAGAGTTGTTTTCTCGTATGAAAATTACAATCATTTATTTGAATCCTTTGAATCCGCCTATTTTATGAGTTTTTAAACTGACGTGTTAGAGCATCTCCAATAGCTTCCCCATCTTCTTGAAATACTCAATTTTGGGGAATATAGAGCTTTTTTTTTGTCTAACAGATTCCCCATCTCATTCCCCAAAATAGGGAAGAAGGAGAAAAAATAGGGAGCCTTCCCCAAATCTGCAGCATTCTCCAAATTTTTGGGGAGAGCTTTATTATTGTAATAAATGCAATTTTTCAAAATGGGGAAGCTGTTGGAGTTGGAGCAAAAATAATTTGGAGAATATGACTTTTATTTCTCCATTTTGGAGAAAATTTTAGGGAAGCTGTTGGAGATGCTCTTAGCGATCCACTGCGGGTGATCTGAACGGTTAAGAGGTTCTAGTATGATTATCATGGTCTTAAGTTCAAGTTCGGATTGCGTTATTAAAATAAAAGAAACTGTTAATGAATTGAAGTTATGAAAAGTCTTGACAAATGCTATCAAACATTTATTGCGAGAATAATAAAGAGTGTTATTCTAGAGTAAATTAAATGCCAACTTCACCTGAACAGATTTAAAGACAAATCACCTCATGCGCTATTCAAAAAAATTTCAAGCATCAAAACACAAACTGATGAACAAAATGCCCAAACAAAAAAAAAGGGATATCTCCGCAGAGAGATTCATGTACGTAATACTATAAGCCAAGTTAACCACGCGCTTAATCCAGAGATCAGTAGAATAAACAAATCATCATATTCTTCCCACCCAACTTGCCACCCTTAAAATAACTCCTCGGGCCCCACCTGACACATCAACGGTAACTTTCCACCTTTTCTCTATTCATTTAACCCTGCAATGTTTTCATCCTCCAGGGGCGTTTCAGTCACAAAAAATCCAACGGCCTATTCCCCACCCGAAGTCCCGACGAAGAGGATTAAATAAATAAAAAAAACAAAATATAAATAAAAGTATGAGAGATAAAAAGGGGATATATAAAGGAGACACGAGAGAGAGAGAGTGGGTAGCAACTGCCTTTGTCAGTCTCACTCCAAAGCTCACACCTTTTGCGAGAGCAGTGGCACCTCTTTCCTCCGCCCTCCTCTTTACTTCCTCTCGTTCTCATCACAATCTCATCTCTTTTTCTCTCTCCGCTTGATTCCTGCTCTGCATATTCTCATCTGGGTCTCTCTTATCTCCTCGAAAAACCCTCAAAGATTCAATCTTTTTGCCGTGCTTCATTAGTATAGCTATACCCTCTGTTTCTGGGTTTTGTTGGGGGTTCTTTTTGAATTAGAGATGGCTGATATTAAACCAGAGGAGATCACTCATCCTCCCATGGATCAGCTCCAGGGATTTGAGTATTGTATTGATTCCAACCCATCTTGGGGTATGATGGATTCTTGAGCTCTATTTAAGAGTATTTAACAGGATAAACAGAGGATTTAGTTTCTAATTGTGGAGTTGATTTTTGTTGTGTTTGGGCTTCAGGGGAAGCGATTGCTTTGGGATTTCAGCATTATATTTTGGCCCTGGGAACTGCTGTGATGATCCCTACTCTTTTGATTCAGGCAATTGGGGGTACTGATGTGAGTGTTTTTTTTTTCTTTTTTTATGAATTGGTTATGATCTTTTATCTGTTAAGGATATGTAACTTGATTGAATTGAAATAAAAATTGATTATGTTGGTGTATATAGATATGACAGGATGGGTAATTAATTGGACTTGTGTTTCGGTCTTTTGATTATTATTTAAGAGACCAATTAGGAAAACATATTATAGTTATGATGAAATAAGACAAGTGTTCTACTGTTATGAAAGGTAAAGTGTCATTTTCTTAGGTACAAGTGTTAATGGATGCTGACTCAGCTTCTCATATTCCTTCTAATCTAGTGGACCAAACCTTGAATTGCTAACACTTGATCAGTTTGTGGATCATTGTTATAGCGACCAATAATATTTTTTCTGAGAACTTAAGGTTATTCAATGTTATTGATACATATTATATCGAATATATTTCATCCCTTATCAAAATTGTTCGATCAAATTGACATAGACTACCATTGCCTACAATGACACAATTCCAATTGATCGGTAAACCTTTTTCAATCATCAAATTATGGCCAACAAGTTAGGGAAATCGACTGTTTTTTATACAGAATCATGGTCATTGATGCACAAGTATAAAAAAAACTATGTTAATCTATTGTAGTATATGGTCATTGATGCACAAGTGTGAAAAACTATGTTAATCTATTGTAGTATGTATATCAATTGAAGTTGGTTATAAACTGGTTAATGAAATCAAATGCAGGATGATAAGGTGAGAGTGGTACAAACGTTGCTATTTGTAACTGGAATTAACACATTGCTGCAAACTCTCTTCGGTACTCGGCTCCCTACTGTTATAGGAGGTTCTTATGCCTTCTTAGTTCCAATCATCTCCATTGTACATGATCCTTCGATAATGAATAATCCAGACCCACATGAGGTTTGTATAACTAGCTCATTTCTCATTAAGACCCCCAAAATTAGTAGTTATTATATTAACTAGCTCATTTCTCATTAATACCCCGAAAATTAGTAGTTGTTATGTTAATTTTTTTTTTTAACTTATAGAGGTTTCTTCAAACGATGAGAGCCATACAAGGAGCCTTGATAGTTTCTTCAAGCATTCAGATTATTTTGGGATATAGCCAGTTGTGGGGTATCTGCTCGAGGTATTTATCTTTTGTACATATTTTAATACTTGGTTTCTAGAATGTGATTTTTTTTGGGAATCTGAGCTCACCAAGTATGATATATTTACTTTTTTGCATGATTGCAGGTTTTTTAGCCCGTTGGGGATGGTTCCAGTGGTTGCGTTGGTGGGCTTTGGCCTTTTCGATAGAGGATTTCCTGTGGTATTGCTACTGTTGTTACTGCTAATTCAATAGTAATAATTATTATCATGTCATAAGGATATTGTTTTCATTACTCGACTTTGGTGGTTGTCTCTTTCTCCAACTATTAAGTTATAATTTGGAAGTGCTTTAGCGGTAATAAATACTTGTAAATCACCATGCTTAAGTCACCAGAAGGCTGAATGACTCAGTTAACCTTGCCATAGTTCTTGTTTCAAACTGTATATTACTATGTACGGAAAACTGTAAACTTTATTTTTGACATTTTCAGTCTATTTCATAAGTTTTTGCCAAACACATTTTGAGCCCTTATCCAAGTTTGTGCACTTATCCGAGTTAGTGGGTGAGTCGCCAAACAAGCCCCTATATTCAGTTCGGGCAAAGAAGTAAAGCTTCAGACAATTTTTGGGGCTTGGTTATTCATTTCAATAGATCTAACAAAGCTTAATTTTGTATTTGTCCTTTATATGCATAGCCAATCTCCACTTCTTGTTGGCGAAGGCACAATCTGGCCTCATCCATATCCTGATTCTAACGGCTTTTTTTATGACACCAAGCGTAATCCCTCCCCGAGTTTTGACTTGTATTGGGTATAACATTAGTAAAATATGGAATATAGCAGATGAGACTCTAAACATCTCTATGAGCAATTGCTTAAATTACATTGCAAATTTTTCTTTTTCTTTTTTTTTTTTGGAAAAGACCAAAATATTTGAAATCATGAGATTGATTAGCTGAAGAAAAACTTGCTCTTTAATGCATATTAGAGTTCAAGTGTAATCAGATATGTATTGTAGAGTTATGAAGTATAATACAGATATGTTTTGGACAGGTATAAATAGGAAAACTAAACACCATAAAGTTAAAAATTGTTGTTAATTTTCTTTCCCTTGTCAGTTAAGATTCTTTAGATAAAAATCATTCTTCTGCATTCATCAGGTCGGACGATGTGTGGAGATTGGTGTTCCCATGCTCATCCTATTTATTGCAGCCTCTCAGGTTCTTTGCTATTTCAATCTTACAAAATAATCAATCAAACCAAATTAAACAGTTAACTGATCCAACTCTTTTCTTCTCATCTTTTCGCCCTCAGTACTTGAAATATATACATGCAAGGAGAGTGCCCTTATTAGAGAGATTTGCACTACTCATATCAATCACTTTGATTTGGACCTATGCTCATATACTCACCGTTGGTGGAGCCTACAGAAACAGACCTGTACGTACTCAGCTCAACTGTCGCACTGACCGCGCCAACCTCATTTCTTCTGCACCTTGGTTAGCACTGAAACCATCATTTTACTCTTTCTCCCGATCTTTTCCTTTTGTGCTAAATTGCCCTTTATTTCTCTGCAGGATCAAAATCCCCTACCCGTTACAATGGGGTGCACCTACCTTTGATGCTGGCCATGCATTTGGTATGATGGCTGCTGTGTTAGTATCCTTGGTTGAGGTAAAAGAATATAGGCAGTTATGCTTTTAGTTTGAGTTGACATGGTTAGCCCTTATAACGACATAAGTTATTGGCTAAGTGATTAGCTGACAAGACCTAAAGAATAAAGCTGTATTGTAACTTATATCCTGCTTCACTCTTTGTTCTATTGTGTATAGCAGAGGGCTTTGCTTTTTTATTTCTGCAATAGTGCAGCTCAACCTAATGCATTCTAACTAATTATAGGTTTCTGCAAAATGAACGAAAATCTTTTTTTTTCCTCCTTTGCCTTTGTTCACAGCCAAATTCCCCTTGTTGAATTCAATTTCATGCTAAATTTTTGCAGTCAACAGCGGCTTACAAAGCTGCAGCCCGGTTGGCAAGTGCAACTCCACCTCCTGCTCATGTTCTTAGCCGAGGCATTGGATGGCAGGTCCAGTATTTTCTTGTATAAAAAGTTCCACTAGTGAAACAATTGTCTGGATACACTATCTCATCAGATTTACGAAACAACAGGGAATCGGCATTCTTTTAGATGGGCTTTTTGGCACAGGAACTGGTTCCACTGTCTCAGTGTAAGTCATCATCTATTGATTATGTTCTACAATTTTGATTTTTTTTATCAATATCAGTAAAATAATTTACTGAACAATGCAGGGAGAATGTTGGTCTTCTTGGATCCACAAGAGTTGGAAGCCGAAGGGTCATACAAATATCAGCTGGTTTCATGATATTTTTCTCCATGTTGGGTGAGTGTTATCCTTGAGAAAATCAGGGATTTTGAACATAAAATTAACAATACTGACTTATATTTCTGCATCTTATTGCAGGAAAATTTGGAGCACTTTTCGCCTCGATACCATTCACAATCTTTGCAGCAGTCTACTGTGTTCTGTTTGGACTTGTTGGTTTGTGATCTTCGCCTTATCCATCACTTGTATTGTATGCCTTCTCTTTGTTCTACCTAATAACTGAAACTTTTTTTCTCTTGTTTTTTTACAGCGGCTGTAGGTTTATCCTTCTTGCAGTTCACAAACATGAACTCTATGCGCAACCTCTTCATTGTTGGTGTCTCCATCTTTCTTGGATTATCCATTCCTCAATACTTCTTCAATTACAGCACGACTGCCGGCCATGGTCCTGCTCACACTAAGGCTGGATGGGTCAGTTCCTTTTCTCTCTTTAAATCACATTATATTCGTTGGCTTTAACAGCAACAGCAAAGCCTTTCATGGATTGAAACTTTGACTATTTTACGTAGCGGGTACGTTCTTTTTTAAATCCAGACTACATGCATATCCATTAGGTTTAAATCTTGGTTGCCCTGATATTTTAGTCCTTTCCGTTGCACCAAAACATCAAAGTTGTGATGAGGGTTATAATTCATATTCTAACAATTAAGGCATCTTTTCCGTTAAGTTAGTTGATATGAGCAGCAAATGTGATACTGCAACATGTATACTCCTCGTCTGCTAATTCAGTGACTTCATAAACAAAGCCTTTATTTGAATTTATTTGAGCTTAGCTTATGTAAGAGTTATTTCCTCTGTAAGTAGTGGATGAGGCTAGGGAATATGCTAATGCAGCGAGGATACTCTTTTGCTGATCCTATCAAATCTGATATTGCAGTTCAATGACTTCATAAACACAGTATTCTCCTCGTCTGCAACCGTTGCGTTGATCGTGGCTGTGTTTCTCGACAACACTCTCGAGTTCAAGGAAGCAGCAAGAGATAGAGGGATGCCGTGGTGGGTGAGGTTCAGGACATTTAAAGGAGATAGTCGAAATGAGGAGTTCTATACACTCCCCTTCAACCTTAACCGGTTTTTCCCTCCGTCATGAGCTCGATTTTTTGGTATTCTTGGTAAAGGTTTGAATAGAAATGGGGGAGGGAAAAGGGTTGATGAGACTCAGATTGTTGAGCAGAGAAAAAGGGGTTTAGTTAGTGTAGGTTGTTGCTGAATTTGTTGTTGTGTAGTATTTATTCGAATTGATTGTTATTTATATTAGACAATAATACCAGTTCTTTTTGGCTATTAAAGAAATCTCCTGGTTTTTAAAGGAGTTTGATTGGTTTTTACATTGATTTATTCTGGATTAGTAGAATACCCTGATTATTTGATGAGATTATTGTAGGCGTATAAAACTGCCTATAGGTCCCTACGAACGGCTCAGTGCTAAGAAAAGATGATGAACGTCATAATCTAAGTCACAGGAGCTTGATTAATGTCGACAAATACATGAAGTGGGTTGACGAACTATGTGAAGCAACGGAGTTTCAGAATAATGAGGATACGAACGGATCGGGAGCCCCGTGTCACTTACAAAAGACGAAATACCCTTCGTATCTCATTTATTCCACAGATGATCTAATCATTGGAGCTTATAGAACTCCTCATCGTCTTTCCAACGCACTTTGAATCGATTAAATCCGAGTTCGGATGAAAAAGTTATGGCGAATATGAACAAGTGTGCAAAACAAAATGTCTCAGCCCGAGCCGAGACACCCAAAGGTGTCTCGGAACTTGTGGAGCTGTTTTGACCATGATCCCGTTTGAATCTGAAGAAACTCAAAATAGGAAAGTTGTAGATATTTTTGTCAACTTTCCAACCCATCTGGAATCAGGTCATTTGGAGGTCATATGAGGAAGTTATGCCTAAAAATAGCGCCGAGACACCCAGAGGTGTCTCGGACCTGGCTGAGACACCCAAAGGTGTCTCGGAACTTGTGGAGCTGTTTTGACCATGATCCCGTTAGAATATGAAGAAACTCAAAACATGAAAGTTGTAGATCTCTTTGTCAGCTTTCCAATGCATCTTGGATCAGGTCATTTGGAGATCATACGAGAAAGTTATGTTCAAAATACCCGAGACACTCACAAGTGTCTCGGCCTGGCCGAGCCACCTAGGCCGAGCCACCCAGATCTGGGCCCAGATCTGAGCCCAGATCTGGTTTGAAGAGCCTATAAATAGCCCCTAGGGCTCATTGTTTTGGAGGTAATCCCCCCCGGCTATTATTTCCTTCGCAAAATAATATCCGTCAAATCGTGTAGATCCGACCGGATCTAGATCGCGCGGTGGTCCACGGCAAACAACCCCGGCGCAGGCAAAGAACCCACAAAAGCGAGTGACCGTAAAACAGGAGCTCGCGATTCGTTCGACACAAAAGGAGAAAAGTTGTAATCTTTGTTTATTTTTATTTGATTTTCGTTGTAACCGGATCTTATAAAAAGACCGGATCTTTGTAACTCAAAAAGTTGTTATTTAAGATGACAATGGAATCAATTACAAAGAAAGACACGATTTTCCCCGCGAACAATCTGGCGACCACAGTGGGAGCCGCCGATCTCGCTGCCGAGATCGGAGCGTCGCAGCCGCGGATCTCAATCCCGGTCATGGAGGAGGTCGAATACGAGTTCGACCAACAGAAGTTCGAGGAATACTTGTCGTCCTCGTCCGGATCAACCTCCCCACGCAAGTCCAACAAGACCAAGTTCTCCTCCAGGAGGAAAACTCGTTGGTATGAAGACGTTGAAAACACCAACGAAGATCTCGCCCCGTTTGATGCCAAAGTCGCATCGGGTGAGGTTCCTCCAATTCCCAACCAAGGCGGATCTACTCTGGCCAACCTTTCTGCCGCGGAAGGCGTGGTGACTCTCTCGAAGAGAGCCCGCCAAAGGCAACGTCAACACCTTGCGAAACAATTCGCAAAGGCCATGGAGTCAGTTGACGGGATCCGCTACAACGTGGATCTAAAGAACAAGAGAGGCAAACAGCCTCAACAACAGATGAACGGCACCTCTTCCAAGCCGCCAACAATGGAATGGGTCCGTGTCAAACGGAACCGATCGACGCTGGAGGAGCGCATTCGCAAGCGCCGCGCACTATCAGCGCAGGCACGGGCTCAAGCTGAAGAAGCCCGTAGAA